TATGAATTCAACTGTTTTAGATTTCACTATAAATTACATCAGACAGTATTTGTATTTTTCTGTCTGACTTATTTCATTTAGTATCATGCCCTCAGGGTCTATCCATGTTGTCACAAATGACAGGATTTCCTTCTTTCTCATGGCTGAATGATATTTCATCATGTATATATACTACATCTTTTTATCCATTCATTTGTTGATAAACAGATTGATTCTGTATCTTGGCTATTGTGAATAATGTTGTAGTGAACATGGGAGTACAGATATCTCTTCAGCATCCTGACTTTATTGACTTTACATATATACCTAGAAGTGGAATTATTGGATCGTATGATAGTTCTATTTTTTATTTTTGAGGTACTTTCTACTGTTTTCCAAGGTGGCTGTACCAATTTACATTTCCATCAACAGTGCACAAGGATTCCTGTATCTACAGCTTCACCAACACTTGTTATTACTTGCCTTTTTGGTGGTAGACATTCTAACACATTTGAAGTGGCAGCTCATTGTGGTTTTGTTTTGCATTTCCCTGATAATTAGAGATGTTGAGCACTTTTTCATGGACCTGATTGTTATTCGTATATCTTCTTTGGTACAATGTCTATTCATTTCCTCTGCCCATTTTTTTAAATAGATTATTTTTATTATTGAAATATGAGTTCCTTGTATATTTTGGATATTAACCCTTCATCAGATATGTGATTCGCAAATATGTTCTCTAGTTCTGTAAATTGGCTTTTCATTTTGTTGATTGTTTTCCTTGCTGTGCATAAGCTTTTTAGTTTGATGTAGAGTTATTTTTGTTTGCTTTTGTTGCTTGTGATTTTGTTATCATAGTCAAAAATCATTGCCAAGACCAATATCAAGGAACTTTTCCTTAGTATTTTTTCCTAGGAGTTTTATGGTTTCAGGTCTTATGTTTAAGTCTTTAATCCATTTTAAGTTAATTTTTGTGAGTGATAAAAAACTAGAGGGTACAGATTTATCCATGTGATTATCTTTCTGCATGTGGTCATACAGTTTTCCCTGTACCATTTATTTAAGAGATTATTCTTTCCCCATGGAGTATTTCTGGCCCCCTTATCAAATATTAGTTGTCTGTATATGCCAGAGTTTATTTCTGGGCTCTTGATTCTTTTTCATTGATCTGTTTTTATGCCAATACCATACTGTTTTGATCACTCTAATTTTGCAGTATAGTTTGAAATCAGGAAATGTGATGCCTCCAGCTTTTATTTTCTTTGCTTTGGTTTTTCAGAGTTTTTTTGTTGCATACAAATTATAGTACTGTTTTTTCAATTCCTATGAAAAATGCCACTGGAATTTTAATAGGCATCTTATTAAATCTTTAGATTGCTTTAGGTAGTATGAACATTTTAACAGTATTAATTCTTCCAGCCCATGAAAATGGGATATTTTTCCATTTGTGTCTTCAGTTTCTTTCATCAAAGACACAGTTTCCAGTGTACAGATCTTTCACTTCTTTGGTTAAGTGTATTTCTAAGTATTTTATTGCTTTTGATACGATTGTGAATGGAATTGTTTCCTTTAGTTCTTTCTTAGATATTTTTTGTTAACATATAGAAACCCAACTGATTTCTACATGTTGATTTTGTATCCTGCAACTTCACTGAATTTATTGATTAGTTTTAAGTTTTAGGTGAAGTCTTTAGTATCTAGTCTTTTCTCTATATAAGATGTTATCTGAAAACAAAGATAATTTTATTTCTTTCATTTCAATTTAGATGCCCTTTTTCCTTTTTCTTGTCTGATTGCTTTGTCTAGGACTTCCAGTACTGTGTTGCATAGGAGTGGTGAGAATGGACACCCTTGTCTTACTCTTGATCTTTGGGAAAAGCTTTCAACCATTCACTGTTGATTGTGATGTTAGCTGTGGGTTTATCATATATGTGTACCTTTATTATGTTGAGGTATGTTTATTTTATACCGAAATTTGTTGAGAGTTTTTATCATGAAAGAATGCTGTGTTTTGTCAAATGCTTTTTCTGCAAGTATTGAGTGATCATAAGATTTTTAGCTTTTATTCTATAAATATGGTGTATCACAAGTATCAAATTGCATATATTGTACTGTCCTTGCATCCCAGGAATAAATCCCATTTGATCATGGTGTATGATCCTTAAATGTGCTGTTGAATTCATTTTGCTAGTATATTATTAAAGATTTTTACTTTTATGTTTGTCAAGGTTATTGGGCTTTGAGTTTCTTTTTTTCTTTCTTTCTTTCTTTTTTTTTTTAAGTATATTAATCTGGCCTTGGATGTCATGGTAATGCTGACCTCATAAAATGAGTTTGGGAGTGTTTCCTTCTCAATTTTTTGAGAGTTTTATAAGGATTGGCATTAATTTTCCAATATTTTATAGCATTTCCCAGGGAAACCATCTAATCCTGAGCTTTTCTTTATTGGAAGAATTTTGATTATTTGTTCATTTTTATAACATATTCAAATGTTCTATTTCTTCATGATTTATTCTTGGTAAGTTGTGTATTTCTAATAATTTCACCAGTTCTGGGTTATCTTATTTGTTGGCATATAATTGTTCATGATAACTCTCATGATACTTTGTATTTCTGTGGTATCAGTTGTAATATCTCCTCTTTCACTTTTTATTTTTTTTGAATCTTCTATTTTTCTTTGTCTAGCTAGAAGTTTATCAATATTGTTTGTATTTTTAAAAATCCACTCTTAATTTTGTTGGTATTTTCTGTTGTTTTTCTGGTCTCCATTTATTTCTGCTCTGATGTTATTTTTCTGCTATCTTTGGCTTTGTTTGGTTTTTTTGTTTGTTTTGTTTTTTGTTTGTTTTTTAGTCCTTGAGATGTAAAGTTGTTACTTTGAGATCTTTCTTTTTTCTTAATGTAGGTATTTATTGCTTTCAACTTCTTAGAACTGCTTGTCATCTTATAAATTTTGACATGTTGTGTTGCCATTTTTGTTTATTTCAAGATATCTTTTGATTTCTTCTTTGACCCATTAGTTGTTCAGGAGTGTGTTATTTAATTAACACATATTTGTGAATTTTCCAGTTTTCTTTCTGTTACGATTTTTCATTTCTTTCCATTCAGTCAGAAAACATAGTTAGTATGATTTTACTCTTCTTAAGTTTGCTAAGACTTGTTTCATGATCTATCCTGGAAAATGTTACATATCCACTTGAGAAGAGTGTGTCTTCTGCTGCTGTTGTATGGAATGTTGTTAATGTCTGGTAGGTTTATTTTATCTAAAGTGTAGTTCAAGTCCAATGTTTCCTTATTGGTTTTCTGTCTGAATGGTCTATTCGTTGTTGAAAATGAAGTATTAAAATTAAAATCTCTGACTCACTATATTGTTATCTTACTTCAGATCTGGTTTTATTTACTTAATATTTTTAGATGCTCTGATGATAGGTGCATATTTATTTATGATTGTTATATCCTCTTGATGACTTGACCCTTTATCATTACATAATAATCTTCTATGTCTCTTGTTAAAGTTTTTTGCTTAAAGTCTGTTTTGTTTGATGTTAGTTTAGTTCTTCCTGCTCTCTTCAGTTTCAACTTACACGGGATATCTTTTTCTGTCCTTTCACTTTGAGCCTGTCTTTAAAGCTGAAGTGATTCTCTTGTAGGCAGTGTATAGTTGGGTATTGTTTTATATCCATCCAGCCACTCTATGACTTTTCATTGGAGAATTTAGTCCATTTACATTAGGTGTGATTATTGATAGATAGGACTTAATGCCATCTTATTAATTGTCTTGCTGTTTTGTAATTGTCTTGTTCCTTTCTTTCTCTCTTGCTACTTTCTTTTATGACTTTATGATTTTCCATAGTCGTAGCCTTTGATTACCTTCTCTTTATCATTTTTTAATTTAATGTAGATTTTTGCTTCGTAGTTACCTTGAGGGTTACATAAAACATCTTAACAGTTATGCTGATAACAACTTAACTTTTATTGCATACAAAAGCTCTATTCTTTTATTTTCCCTTTTATGGTTTTGATGTCACAATTGACCAATTTTTATATTGTGTGTTCTTTAACAAATTATTATAGCTGTACTTATTTTTAATACTTTTGTCCTTTAACCCTTATACTTTACTCAAGTATAAGGGTTAAAGGACAAAAGTATTAAAAATAAGTACAACTATACTTGAGTAAAGTATAAGGGTTAAAGGACAAAAGTATTAATATAGAACCATGATACAGTATCAAGAGTATTCTGGATGTGACTATATACTTACCTTTACCAACCACATTTTGTTTATCCATTCATCGGCTGATGGATGCTTGGGTTGTTTACACCTTTTGGGTCTTGTGAATATAAGTCCTATCTAAAATTCTAATCTAATTATAGCCAGAAGGGTTAATCAGTCTACAAAAGGATGAGGGCAACTTATGTTAGGTGATCATATGGTCTAATGGTTTTTCCATCCTTGTTTGAAAAGTAACTTTATACAGACTTTTTCGAACTTCTAAGTAGAGTTCACAGCCCAGATAACTTAGTAAATTAGTGAGTTAGTAATGTGGGTATGCTGACTCTATGACAGTAGTAGATATAGCCATTCAGGAATGCATTATTTGGTTTCACACCTTAAACATCTTATTAATGTTGGCTATATTTTATCTTTCATGAGTTGAACTTGTCAGAATATTTACATTCTTTTATATTATTGATCATATACAGGAACTTATAAGTTGGAAAGGTAACCACTCTTCTGAAAATATAAATATGGTGGGCAAGTGGATAGTTATTGAGACAAAATACATTTGTATTGTACTTGTGAAAAGTAGGGCTTATTTTTTGGGAGGGGTTGTGTTTTTGATATTTTGATGGTGGTGATGATGGTTCCTTTTGGAAGGAGGCAGAAAAGGCAGGAGACTGAAGCAAAAGAAATGAACAGGAAGAGAGAGCATAATGGTCAATGTAATTTTGGAGATATAAAAAATAGTTTTCTATCACTGTTTTCAAGTGTTTTCTAACAAATAACTTATTTTTTCAGACTGCCCTGGCACATTTAGAGTCTCTTGCAGTAGATGTTGAGGTGGCCAATCCACCAGCCAGTAAGGAGAGCATTGAAGGTCTTCCAGAGACCCTTGTTCTCGAAGATCACACTGGTAAGGGCGAAGTTGATCTCTAATGTCGAATGACACATTGCATTTTTGAGTGTGTTATCAATGCACCTAGAAGATAAAATACTATCATTAGATTTTCTATAAAACCAGATTCTGGCAAACTTTCACCTAGCACAAGGATATTTTTAATTATTTAAGTGATGGGCTGAGACAAATGTTCCCGAGTCAACTTTTCTACAAAAGCAATGTTTATCAAATTTCAAATTATCATGTATTAGAAACATGTTTCCCAATTTATTCATCAAGGTCTGATTCTTTTGTCTTTAATAGGTATCATCTGTGAGTTCATATGTTGATTTTCAATATTAAATTGAATTTCGTGGGATTGATATATCAAATTATTTGTTGTTTTCAGCTATTGGTCAGGAGCTATGCTGTCCGATTTGTTGCAGTGAATATATTAAGGATGATATAGCGACAGAGTTACCCTGTCACCATTTCTTTCACAAACCTTGTGTCTCAATTTGGCTACAGAAGGTGAGTTTTACATTATGTTTTTTAAGTTAATATTTTAATAGTTTCTCCTGCAAGTTAATGATGATAGTAGTTTCTTTTGACCCTATTTTATTTAGCTACATAGTTGAGTACTTTTTAATTTAGTTTAATTCCATTTAATTAAAAAATTGTTTACCTTTTAATGACTACAGATTAATAATATCAAACTATTTTACTTTTCTAATATTGTCTATAAAACAATATAAATGACACTGACTACTTAACATGTTTAAACGTATCCCTGAAATTTGGTATTTTCAAAATTATCTCAAGCAAAGAAGTCTTTGGCACTACTCAGAATACTATAACAATATACAGATATTCTGCTAATCTGCATTGGTGTCTGGAAATGTATATGAGAAATGTTTAATAATCTACCAAGTGTCTCCTATTCAGATTTTTATATGCTGTCCTTAAATATTTACTCCTCAATTTTAAGTATGCTTGAATTACTTAAGGAAAAAGTTTTACTTAAATCTCTGTGACCTCTATTTTTGCATAAAGAATGTTTACATGTGGTTCAGTATAAATTCCCAAATTAACTTTCCCAGCTTATTGGATATCACTCCCTTCTCTACAACCACTTCCTTCCTTTTCTTTTTTTTCTTTTTCCCCTCTTCTTCCTCTCTTCTTTCCTTTCTCTTTCTTCATTGTTGCTCCCTTTCTGCTGCCATTTTATCTTTGTCAAAACTGTACTTAAGATTTTTAAATCCCATGCAGAAATGTTCACTATTCCTTTATAAAATCTAAAGTTTCTGTCTTGGCTTTTAAGGCCTTCTATGATCTAGCTCCCAGCCTATCTCTTATACATTTGCTGATGTTTGCTTAACCTGGTTTGGTCTTTCCCCAATACCTATAAGATTAGATGGTCTAGGTAGCTCCAGCTTAAATTCCACTTTTTATAGCCTTAATATCTCGTTTCTTTAAACTTCTGTGATAGCATCAAAGCCTTAAGAAGGATCAAGTATTTTGTGTGCCTGCCATGTGTCAGGCTCTGCTAAATGATTCATGTATATTTTCCCATTTATTCTTCACAATAAGTCTAGGATATATTCTTATTCTCATTTTCCAATGATTGTTACTCATACAAGATTATACAGATAGTATGTGGTTGATAGGGACTACACTCATCTAACACTAAAATGTTGCTATTAGGGCCCAGTCTATATGATAAGTGCTCAGTAAATGTTTGCAGAATTAAATTCTTGAATTATAAACATTATATATATTTTACAGCCATGAATTGTCATTGACTTTGCTATAATCCAAGGTAATAATCTTTGCAGTCTCTTTTCAGTCAGGAAAAAGCTTCGCATGAAGCCTTTCCTGTAGGGAGAAGATTCCCAAGATACAAATCTTTGTCACCTTTAACAGCGTGATTTCTGCAACCCGCTTCTATCAGGGAAATCTCTCTGGGAAAAAGAACAGCCTTGCAAAGGGATAATCACAGATGATATATCTTCCATTCCTAAAATATTATATTACCAGTATAACTGCTTTCCCTGTCCCAACTTCCTGCCCAGGTCTATGGTTGATTTGTTTTATCATTGAGAACAGCGGTTCCTGGGCCATGGACCTGTATTGTTTTGTGGCCTATTAGGAACTGGGCAGCACAGCACGAGCTGAGTGGCGGGCGAGGGAGCAGCAAAGTTTCATCTGTATTTGCAGCTCCTCCCCAGCACTAGCATCATCACCTCAGCTCCACCTTAGATCATCAGGCATTAGATTCTCATAGGAGCACTGGTCCCTGGTGCCAAAAAAGTTTGGAGACTGCTGAATTAGAAAACACCGAACCTATCTTTTTGAAAAAGAATTATATGGCTTATAAAGAAGGTCTGTGAGGTTCATCTGTTTTGACAAATCTGTGTTCACTATGTGGTTTTTGTTTTTTTTAAGTTATTTGTTTTGTTTTTAGGATAATGATACAATTTTTTTTCTTTATTAAGATATGTATGTGGCAGTTAAGACCTTTCCATTGACTGTGAACTTTTTTTTTCCTCCAGTCAGGAACATGCCCTGTGTGCCGCCGTCATTTCCCACCTGCAGTTATCGAAGCATCTGCAGCTGATTCCTCTGAGCCTGATCATGATGCCCCACCTTCAAATGACAGTACTGCAGAAGCCCCCTAAACCTTAACACTTGAATGAGATCAGTCTATCAAAGTAAATTTGCAAATTCCTTCTAAATCTGATGTGCAAATAATTATATATAAATATATTAAAATGCTATATATAGTCAATGCCATAGTTTAGAAAGAGAATATTAACCTTTCTAAACTAAATTTAGGTTTGCTGGGGGTACTAAACATTTTCAAGCAGAATGTTGAAGCCGTACATCCATTTTTTTTAGTTGAATATGTTGATATTAATTGTAAAGTCAAGCTTAGCTGTTTACTCTGTCCAGAAGAAATAATCATCTTTGTGGCACACATTATTGGTTTTTCTGATGTACTGCCACTAAGTGATTATGATTAAGCTCTCCTATTTGCATCAAATGTGAAGACTGTGATCACAACAGTAATAAAATTTGGTTTCATTGGAAATAAAAAAAATCCTAAAGCATACTTTTTCATTGGTCACTTTGCTTTTGCTACATCAAAACCTCTTGGTTCATAATACTGGTTTTTTTTGGTTGTTTTTTTTGTTGTTTTTTAGGAAGATGTCTCTTCTTTCATTTTTGTTTAAAATTAGGACTTTTTTAGGGTGCCAGACAGAGGCTGAAATTCTGGCTAAAGCATCATAAAAAATTTAAATCTTAAATGTAATCCCCTGGAAATGGTTGTTAGGTAGTAAAATAATTTTTTCTTTTAATGTTGGATGTGCTTAAGGTGAGCTTAGTAAAGCATGCAAACAATCTAGTGTGCTCAGTGCTTGGTACAATAAGATGAATTATATGGCCTCACCAAAATCCTTCCTACTCGGTTAAAATTATACTTGAAGGTCCAGAACACTCATGGCACGCTTGTTTAATAAACATTGAGTATAGTTAATTTAAGGTAATTTTGGTTCTGAAATATTTTGGAAAATTCAAAAACATGCATAAAGTGTTTTTAACACTCATTCTCTTGTATACTAAAGGAAAATCTGAATCCTTAAAAAGCTAGCAGGTTAATTGTACTAACTTGTATAAAGCATAAAATTGATGGGGTGTAGGACAGATTTGGCCATACCTTTTTACAAAATATCTAAACCTTAATGTGTTATAATTTATTTCTTTAAAGTATTTCTTTAAAAGGATTATTATTACATTTATCAGTATTTGTTTCTTTACACTGATTTATTTTGGTTAAATTATTCATCTGGACCTAAAATAAAAATAGTTTCAAATTAAGCTAAACTAAGCCATGAGTGAAAAGGGAGTAAGTTGCCTAGTGACTGTGTGAACAGAATTGAACATGTAGCAGTTTTTCTTATTTTCCTTTGTTTAAAAAAGAAAAGAAGATCCTGACCTCAGATATACCCTCTAAAAGAGTTCTATTCAAAAGCTTCTACAAAAGTGAGGAAAACAGCTTTTCTTCTTATTTTTTTTATGGAAAATTTGACCCACAAACTTAATCTTTATAAATGATGTATAATCCCAGACTCAGATTGCACAGCTTTCTGTTTAGGTTATCATACTCAGCAGGCTATAAAGTACAAACATTGATGGAATATTTAACATATGAATGTCATTTGATATCAACACCAGAGAATGATGGCTGTTAGAATACCAACCACATTTGAGCAAGTAAAATAGTAAAAGCACATGGCGAGTGTACATCCATTCAAATAATATATTGATAATTTAGTTTGCACATGTAAAAGGAATATTTATATAACTTCTCAAATGCAAAATTACATTTTATTTGTGTAATTTCTCAGTGTTTATATTCCATCTCTTTTTGTTATTCTTAAAAATAAATGAATTTTCACTGTTGGCACACTTGAGGCTTAAAAATAAGGAACGTAACACTTGCATTCTAATTTTTGCATATACTGTAAATGTGTCTGGTATTTACAGCAAAATACTGTGTAACCTTTTATGGGTAAAACAAAACTGAACATTGCATGCATGTAATGTGGTGACTTTGTAACTTAGGGGTTCTTTGGGGCTTCTGTGACTTTGGAAATGCTTACATTCAGGCCTTAATGTTGCATTAGCTAGCATGTTTTCCTTCTGATGTATATAGTCACTGTTGTATAAACTAATCTTTGCTTGTTTTCTATTCTGTGATCTTTCCATACTATATTTCATTGATGATCAGTTAGTGTCAAAGTCAAATCAGATTAAAATTAATTCTCATCTGTATATTGTGAAAATTTGTAGCTAGGGTGATTTTTGTTTGTTTGGTTTTCGGTTTCTGGAAATTTGTAGCTAAGTGTGTTTTTTGTCGTTTTCTTTAAGTAACATTGATCAGTTGTGACACTAGTTAAACGGACATGGCTACAGATTTCTCTGTAATAAGCCACACATTATATTTAGGCAGTATTAAGGGACCTTGGTTTTCTTCTTTTAGATAGCAGCTGTCCCAAAGAAAATATTTCTTCTTTGCCTGTTAAGATTTAGCTATTATCTGCCAGTTGTTAAGAGGTTTTGGTTCCAGCCTCAACCAGCAGTGTTGAGAGCTGAACTTAAGATAGCTGTTGTACTTTTTGCTTTCCATCTGTTTCTGTCCTTTATTCTTGGCTCCCTACAATCTATAAACAGCTGCTATGAAGGAGAAAAGTTGAATAAGAGTTGGCTTATAAAATTCTTTAAAAAGGAAATTGAGATTTTTAGTATTTTCACTGTAACAAGCTGAGGCTGACAAGTTCAGACACCAAAATATTCTTTGATCATATCTTGGATCCTTTTGAAAAAATTTAGAATATATGAAGATAAATTAGAAATAAGTATAAATATTAATAAAAAATGCTGTTTCCCTTATTTCTCTATATGTTGTTACTTGACCTAATAATTTTATTTTTTAAAACATTTTTTCTTTCTTGTTATATGAATGATAATATTTAAAGGTAGATCCATGTGGGTTTTTTTGTGTTTCTTAATTGTTTATCTCTAAGCTAACTAACTTTTAAGATTATTTGTGATCTGAATTTATATATAAGCTGTTAAATATATATGAACTGTTAAAATGGAATGCAAGTTTTTCAAAAGCCCAGGTCTAAATGTAATGATTGGTTTATTGTTCTACAACTCAGTCCATTATTTTCTGTGTAAATCATAAACAATAAACAGGATATACACAGTGTTCATTTCTAATATTGTACAGTCATATCACTTCTATAATGTTAACCCCCAGGGGGATTTAGTTTAATGGCAAAGAATACAGCTGTTAAAGAAGTCTGGAATAGGATCCAGAGCACATGGTTTTATAGTCCTTGAACTGTGATCTAATAAGGCCCAGACAGAGAGCCCAGCTTTACAAAAGTAAAGTGGTTGATGGACATCCTTTTGGAATGGCTCTAAAGGAGTGGTCCCTGCTCTCTCCTGCCCAACCTTAGTAATCCTGTAGGTTCATCAGAGCCCAACCTCCACACCCCTCAGGACTCCAGAAACCCTCAAAGTTCCAGGATGGATGCCTGCCTACCGTGCTTCAGTGGCTTTCTCTAAATCAGGTATGAGAGTGTTATCAAATGTACCTATGTAGGGAGATTCTCTGTGGTTTCCCAAGTGTTCAAAACCTGACCCATTTCAGGTGGGGAAACAGTGCTGACTATGCCCACATTAAGTTAGACAGAAAACTGTAATCATTTTGTTTAGAAGCTTTAGAAAGTTTAGCATTCTGATTCTCCCTTAAGAGAATAAACATGCTAGAAAATAGTTTCACAGCTACGAACGACAATGATACACTTCTTCTGTAGTGCCAAAATCCACTTAAAATTGTGTTATATGATTTTTATCCAGCCACTGCTGCCAGAATTGGAGCCACCCAGCACCCCCAAAGGGATGGATTTCTTCGTTAGAAGGGTCACCCAAATGTTTCTATGAATTTAGCACTTGTGCATATAAAAGTCCTGTCTCTTCTGTGTGGCCACCTCTTTATATCTTCAGGCTTCACACTTTTCTCAGATCTTACATGATACTTATTCCAGACTAGCCTGGCATTGGCTCTTTCAATCCCATTCTTAAAATATGTTGCTTAGAACTAAACACAATTCTTCTGTGGTCTGACTAGAACCTGTTCTAGAAGCATTATTGCCAACTTCAGAGTGATTCTCATGTGGCTGGTATATGTTGATAATTCATTCTCATTATTTTTACTATTAGGCAGGCATGTCACATTGTCTCTTGCTGAACTTTACAGGCATTGCTGGTAAGTCAGGTCCACTCCTAATAATTACTTATACAATTTCTTCTTAACCTATTTGAAGGATTGCATTATTAAATGTAATTTGTAAAGGTCCTTAGGAATTCTGATTCTTCCTCTTAGCTTTGTGTCAGTTTCAATTTAGATGATTCATGCCTTTGGTATTTAGTGGCTTTGTCCAAGTTATTGATCAATATTGACTAGAGCAGGATGAAATACAGACCCTCTCAGAATGCCACTATAGAGACTGCCCTTCAGGTGACTTTGATCCATTGGTCAGTACTTTGGGTGTAGTTGTTGAAGCAACTACCAATCACTTCTGTGCTCAACTTTCTTCATCTTATAAATGACACCATAAGAAATTTTGTCATGTTTGGCCGACAAGCAGATTACACTGTTTATGGAAGTAACCTAATCTGCTAGTATATTAAATCAAGAAAGGAAATGAAGTTAGTTAGAAATGCCTCATTCTCAGTGAAACCATTCTACCTCAATTTCCAACTGCTTACATGCCATCTGTTCATTAATCTGCCCTAGAATTTAATAAGTGATCAATGGCAAGCTCATATCTCTAATTTTTGGAGTTCACTTTTTCCTCTCAAAAACGTGGTATTTGAAGTAACATGACCTTGACAAGTCACTTAATCTCTCTGCTTCTGTTTTCTCTGTATAGTAACAAATCTAAATTATAGGTTTAGTACCACTGCTTGTGCGTGGATAGAAGTTTGAAAAAAAATATTCTTTGTTAATGTACAAAGTCATGGGGAAATACGATTGCTTTCCATCATTGTTCGATGTTAGCACTACTTTTAGAGTTGAACATTTCAGATGAGAACCTTAAAAGCATCTTAATCACCTCTCAGGAGTTGAAAGAATTTGACAGGGGAATTTATTAAATCAAAATAAATAAAAGATAATAATTTGATTAAAAGGTTACATGCCTGGATATGGCAATTTATTTCATCTTGGATTCTTACCTTATAATCAGTATATAGTTTTCATAGTGGATGTTGGAGAGGAGAAGTCTTTCTTTTTAGAAGGATGCTACCTCTTAATCATTCATTGTCAGTAAGAGAAATCATACTGCAAGGCACTATGATTCCTTCAATTACAGCACAGCCTTTCTTTGTAATAAGATTCATTTAAATGCATTTTTACATTATGAGAATAGTTTCCATTTATGAAGTGCTAATTATTAAACACTGTGTTAGGCTCTCTGTTTTAGCTAATATTTATAATGAATTTGTAAGGCAGGTGGTACTGTCCCAATTTTACAAATAAGAACATTGAGTCTTGGCTCGTAAGCAGGAGCTGAGGGGTCTTCCCATCCAACTCTCCTTCCTAGATGGGAGCAGCTTAGGATCAAAGGTAATGTTTAAGCAAGTTGCTTGAGGTGCAGTCTGAGCTTTAAAAGTGGGGGATGGGGGTGGAAGGGCATCTGTTCAAAATTCTGAAAAATATTTTAGTTTTTCCTTGGCATATTATTTTGCTAAATTGTCATAGACATTTTTGCCTTAAGGAATGTACGTACTCCTGACCAAAGTTCTAATGTCCTGGTTATAGAAGTTTCTTAGTCATCATTACAATCTTAGGAGAACTACTTTTGTCTGATAATTTGGTATCCCTTAAATCATTCTGCAGAGACTCTCTGGCCTAGAAGTGTGTGTGTGGCATCCTTTGGTCTCTTTAATCGATGAGACTTCACTAATGCAGACACCTGTCTATAAATGACAATCACTACCACTTTCAACAGTATCTAGATTTCTTCCTTTGGAAGGCAGGGATATTTACCGTCACAATTACAGTCACTCCACACAGGAGAGAACCTACTCCCAGATTGTTTCATCATAGGAATAGACATTTGACAGAGTTTCCTTTTTATTTCAATCCTTAAATGCTATTTTAAATTCTTTCCAGGCTTTAAAGCTATGCCCTAGTTCTATTTGTCTATTTTATTCCCATTTTCTTGTTAAAAGAATCCAAATGTTATGGACAACTATTATAAGGGGCTTCACAATGTAATACCATACTGACTAGCCTTTTGCCTCAAAAAATAATTCCTCCTTTTGACTTGGGCCCAGGATCCTTCAACTCTGGTATCTCAATACCCTAGAATTGGTTCCAATACAAAATGTTAGAGCTTTTATTTCAGTTTAAATTCACATTTAAGGCAGATGAGCCATAAGGATTGGGAGCTTACAAAATCAACCTTGTCTGGAAAGTAGGCCCTAGCCCAGAATTGGATGATGATGAATCACAAGTGAACACCTCGGTTATGCCCCACATCTAAATGAATAAACAGCACCTGAAAGATGTTACGTTTTTTAAACAAAAATTAGGGAGCTCATGAAAGTAATATATTAGGACATATCAGCCTGGCATCCTCCCTGAATCTGCTTTAAAAATGCCTTCATTGAACCAAATAATTAACTGCATATCCTTGATAAATGTTTACCAAGTGTCTACTCTGGCACAACTGTAAACAAGATAGCCAAACTCCTTGGCCTTCTGGAGTGTCCAACGTAGTGAGGAGAATATTAACACCCCCCACCCACACAGCTGACTTCACTACATGGGAAGGTTTTCATCTTGGCCTGAGAAACGCATGGCTCTCAGGGCCTCCTGGCTTTTCTATAGTTATCCAAGCTAGAAACAACCAAAGCGGGGGGGGCGGAGCGGGGGCGGGGAAGAATAACTGTTGACCCTCCGAGGGGACCGACTACCTGCAACTACCCTCAAGTCCAAAAGATGTATGTTGCTCTATAAATTGAAGCTCTCTTAGGTTATATAACCTATAGCCACTGTCAGGTCATGATATCTCACAACCAGAGAAGCTTAAAGTGTTTTCCAGAGATGGGGCTGAGAAGAATGGACAGAAGCACCTTATTTCCTGTACTATATTAACTTTTCCTCTATTTGTACTTGAAGGCATTTACATGCTAGTGTCCAGCATGTTTTCACCCAGAAAATAAAACAAAGCAGGCAATTCCGAAGCATTACTTTCCTGCTAGGTATGTTGTCTCTGGTGCAAAATATTGTAAAGGCTTGGGTAACTGTGCTGATGGACCAGGGCTAAGGTATCTTGAAATCTGCCTCACTAAGGGCTTGACAAGGAGAAGGCCATGGTCAAATTGCCAAATTTCCTACATCGTGACTCACGGCAGCTGAACAAACCAAACGTGAAAACACATTGTTTTCAGCAAGGGTACTAAATGCTATGCAGATGTACAGTCATGTTAGTATAGCCCCGGCCTGACTTACTAGCAGCTCCATGGTATACAAAGGTGCCAAATCTGAGAGTGCAAAGGCTCACTCGGAGGAGCAGAATTGTTACAAATCCTTGGGATTCTTGTCTCTCCCCACTCACTGCTGTATAATTCATTTTTCTCCCCAGAATAAGGCCCTGGAGGACTCCTAAGAGTTTATTTAATCCATATGTAAGTGAAGCTTCCTAAAGAAGAAGCAGAATTGAAGGCTGCATTAGGTGGCTTCACCACAGTGCCTGCCATGACCATTCTACTTGAAACTTGAGCTTAGAAACCCCAGTCTTTGGGGGTTGCTGGCAAGCCTGCCTAACTTTTGCCCCAGAGTAAGACATTATCTGTTATCTTCGTCAGGAAACAAATCTGTCCTTTTACCTGGGGGTAGGGTAGGATAATATAACTGTCTTCTAAGACTTTTCAAACTCCTTGAAAAGACAGTACAGAACAAAGTTGTATCTCTTGCTCAGAAGACATGAGAAACAAGAAACCCATGAATTGTCTCCCAACATCCATAACCCCTGCTAAAGAGATGGGACACTGCAAGTCATGAAACCCCACTCTTCTAGTCAGAGCTGATTATACTGGTGGTAGGCAGACTCCAGGCCCATCTATTCAGAGGTTGGCCAGTGACCAAGTGCTAAAGGTAAGGGAGGCCAGCCAGCTTTTCTTGCTACTTTATGTTGCAAAAT